GACGAAGAGAAGGATATTCTGACAGCGAGTTTGAGTTGAATGCATATTGGATCTCGGATGAAGATATTGCATATTGGGAAGAAATAGTATCAAAGGTGAAAATGGAAAAAAGTGAAACTAACGATCGGAATTCCTGTTAGTTATCACTCCGACGATGAGGTTGATAGAAGACATGACAAAGTGAATGGGCAAGAGGGTTCAACTCTAGTGATGATGGGATCTATGATGGAACCAATAAGGAGGATGAAGTTGCTGATCATGCAGTACGTAGAACAAGTCACTTTCCACAATCCAAATTTGGAAACACCATTCTTTGAGCTTGGAATGGTTTTCACTAGCATGAGTCAGGCAAAGGAGGCAGTTAGAAAGTATGCTTTGGCTGTCAGGAAATGTGTATTTGTGAAGAAAAGAGATTCAAAGAGGCTAAGGGAGGTACAAGGCATATTTTTCACATTGTTGGTTTCTTGGTGTAAAAGTGTTGATGCATTCTGAACCAAACCACTGAAGGTGCATAGATGTAGACTTCATTTCAAGAATAAATATTGTATTCCAACTGTGATTGCAAAGAAGTATCATAGGAGGATAAGAGCACATCCATACTAGAGACTCAAGGACATGAGAGAGACGATTAAAGAAGAGATGAGATATGATGTTAATAGGATGACATGTTCTCGTGCAAAGAAGATAGTGATGCACTTGACCCAATGATTCTATAAGGACGAGTATGGACGTATGCGGAAGAACTAAAGAGAGCTAACTCGGACACAACTATCTGTATCAAGGTGAATCGAGACAATCCAGAGGGGTTGCCCAAGTTTCAATGAATGTATATTTGTTTTGGTGACATGAAAAAGGATTTTAAGCCGAGACAATCCAGAGATCTACTTGTTGCGGTTGGGAGGGATGCAAATGATCAAATGTACCCCATTGCATGGACAGTGGTTGAAGTGCAGTCTAGAAGTTCATGGGATTGGTTTCTAAAGGATTCGAGGGATGATTTAGGCATTGATGAAGGTGTTGGTTGGTCCTTCAGTTCGGACCAAATGAAGGTATAATGTTTATTATCTATTGTTAATAGTAAAGTGCCCATATCTTAGTTTATTAACCCCAAATTGAATGTTTGTAGGGACTAGTACCAACAATAGCCAAACTCTTTTCATATGCGGAGAATTGTCCATGTGAACGACATATATATATATAGCAATTGGAGGAAGAAATTCAAGAATAGAGCATGGAAAAAGATGTTTGAGGCATGTGCTAAGGCGATGACACTAATGTCTTTTTACAGAGCCTTCCAAAGGTTTGCATCAGAGAACAAGGAAGCTGCAAATGCATTGTTGTTAATTGATCTAAAACACTGGTGTCACAGCTACTTCTCAACAAAGGTTAAATGTAATTCGCTTGAGAACGACATGTCCGAGTCTTTCAATGCCTACATCTTAGAAGCTAGATTTAAGGCCATCTACAGCATGTTGGATAAACTCTGTGTTATGGTTGTAGAGATGGTTGCGACAAAGATGTCCTTGGGAGAAAAGTGGGAGGGCCTCTAGTGCCGAAAGATCATACAGAAGTTCAATTCGCATGCTGCAGAAAGTGATTTTTGTCACATACTATCGAATGGCCAACATGATTATGAGGTGAGGCATAAGGAGGACAGGTTCACAGTGCAACTTCTACAACATACATAACATGGGAATTGTCAAGGATTCCACATGACACAATAATGGATTAGTGTCTTTACTATACCCCATATGACAATATAATGCATGGATGATGTTTGTTTCGATAAGCCTTTTTCACATCTTGCTGTTTGTGACTATTTTTGTACTATGTGACAAAAATGCATGAACATAACAAGGAACCCCTATTTACACAATAACAAGTTACAAAGATAGGCCAAGAGCATTTACATCCATTCTACATCAACCACTAACAATGAAGAACAAGAAAATTACAAGCATCAAAATCACAATCACACAATACAGCATACACAGCTTCTTCGATGAGGCCACTCCATCAATTCCCCGCATAATCTCAGTGTGTTATTCCGCTAAGATTTTGTTTCTTATACGTATAATGTATCTCTCAGCTTCAAGTACTTTCACTCTTTCTCGAAGAGAAATAATCACTCCTAGTCCTTTGTGATGTGGAATGTTCAATTTAGGGTCTTGAAACCTGAAAAACTTGCAGCCTCCTACTTCCACACTCTTCCTACCATGATAAAATCTTCTCCCAGGATGTGCTTTAGTCCATTAATGCAACCTGATAGCTCTCACTTAACACCAACAAAACACATATGGATTGTTGTATCCAGTGTTGTAAAATAATGATTCTTGAGAAGAATATGTGATGACCTACAATTCAATCAATTAGGCGGCAATCGAATTCAAGCTAAATAGAATAATTGACCAATACAACATTCAAAATTTATCAAAACCAAAAAACCCAAATGCTGATTTGACTACTGCTTCTCTAATTCATGCTAACAAGCCCAGTATCATTGATTCAAAGCAATCAGAACAAAATTAAATTTAGTTTTCCACAAAGTTACGAAATAAACACAAGAGGGCGAGGACAAGGTCGCTTGCCTCTGGCACACTGTCCCTCCCCTCCTCTAGGTTTTTTTTTCCAGGTATGTGACTTTTTGTGTTTCGTATCTTTTTTTTTTTTTGCATTCTAGTCTAGTTGTAATATTTTCTGTGTAATGCTATTCTTTTCATTCTAGTGGTAGTTCTTTCGGTGTAGTGGTAATGTTATGGATATAGTGGTTATGTAATGGTATTGTTATTGGTGTAGTGGTATTGATATTGTGGGTATACTAATATTGATTATGATCTAGTGGTTATGTTATTATTGTAGTGGCAAAGTAGGGATGGTGTAGTGATATTGGTATCGATATAGTGGTAAGCTATTTATATTGGTATTATTTAGTGGTATTGTTATCGGTTTAATGGTAAAGTAGTGTAATTGTTGTAAGTGTAGTGGTACCGATATTGTGGGTGTACTTATATCGCTTTCCGGTCTAGTGATAATGTTATCAATAGAGTGATAATCTTTTTATTGTAGTTGTACATTTTTAATGTAGTATTGATTTTCTTGAAATGGTACTTTTTTTGTAGGTGGCCGGAGGAGTATGCCAGAAGGATTTGATTGGAGGAACTCTGGCGATCAGGGAAATACCTAAATTAAAAAGAGAAATGAAATTGAGTTTGAATTGGTAGTGGTTGATAAAAAATTTATCAATGTAATAATATTAAATGGGAGATAAAAATATACTTTTCAAGATGTAATTAATAAAATTTTGTTATTTCCCAAAAATGTAATTTAAAAAAAAATACTTAATAATTTTTTTTCTACCCAAATTACCTTGGGTGTAGAGGAGTTGTCAATAGGGTTGTCAGTCGGTCGATTTTGGTTTAACCGAAAACCGATTTCTCGGTTATCAGTTAAACCGAGCCACCACCTCCCACTGTCGGCCACCGATCGTGAGGGACACTGCGGTTAGCCAAAAACCGACAGGTCGGGTATCGATTTTGGTTCGGTTAGCCGCACTCCCTTATCTCCAAAAAAAATAATTAAAAATAAAAAATAAAATAAAAACCCAAAATTCCTCCCACCACTCATTCCTTATCACCTCCATCCTTCTCTCTCCTTCCTTTCTCGGTTTCTCCACAACCTCACAGTCCTCACGACCTCACCTCCTCCATCCTCTCCCTCGCCGACACCCGCCGCCGCCTCCTCTCCGCCCTCCTCATCTCCCCCGCCGCCTTCTCCCTCGCCCTCTCCCACCTCCACTCCCTCTCCCTCCCTCAACGACGACCTCCATCTCTTCCCCGCGCTCAACAGGCTGCCTGCCTCGACCCCGCTCCTCTCGAAGTACTTGACGGCCTCCATCTGGTTGCATGGCTGTATCTCCAGACCAGATCGAAGAGATCTGGCTTCTTCCCTCCAACAATCGCCGGCAGAGTAGGGGAGTGGCTGGGTGGAGGAGGGGAATGGCGGCGGAACTGGGTAAGGGGATTGGCGATGGGGTCACGAGCCCCTGCTTCTTGGCGAGGAACGGAACCGCGCAGATGCAGGTCTGGTATGTGCCGCCGCAGGCGCGGAGGTTGTCGGAGGTCCGGTTGTGGAGGCGCTAGCAGTTCTCGAGGAGCGGCCAGACAAGGGGGCCGCGGAGGGAGCGGGAGATGAAGGTGAACCAGAGGAGGTAGGCGGTGACTAAGGAGAGGAGGAGCAGGGCCGAGGAGGAGCAGGGCCTCCATCAAGGCTGCGCGAGAAAGGGTTGGGGGTGGCGGGGGGGAGTGGGGATTGGGATTAGGGTTTCCATCTCATAGGCAGGGGGTCGTTTTGGCTTTTGGGTGGAGTTGGAGCGGGGTCGGTTTGGGAGGTGTCGGTTTGGGCGGGGATGCAGGGTCGTTTTGTACTAAAGGGGAAGAGTTCGGTTAGCTGGTTAACCGCCGGTTTCTGACCACGATTAATCGGCTAGCCGAGCATACCGGTCGGTTCAATCGAAACCGACCAGTTAACTGCTAACCGAAAACCGTTCTGCCAACCCTAGTTGTCAATATGCAAATCGTCGTTATCGCGTCCCAAAAATTAAGCATTCATTTATCTTTTGATTGTTTCTCTTTAAAGTATAGTTCTTTTGATTGTGTGCCCAATCAACAAATGTTAGGTAGAATGGTGGTTTGAAGGCATATCCCCATTTCCGGTTCTTGTGCTATCCTTCATATGGTGTCCTAAACCGAACTTTTCCAATCTCTCAGGAGAGGTCGTTATTAGTTGTATGTGGCCGGCACGACAGACGTTAAAGCTCACAAATTCCAGCGACCTTTGTATTCATCCCAAAGACACAAAATAAAAGTAACTCTATTCAAAGTCCTGGACTGAGTAAGCATGCAGAACGAACAGGAAGACCATTTCTGTTCAGCACACGCAGGCTGCAATCAGCAGATGCCGGATTTTCTTTTTAATTTTTACGAGGGTGACATAATTTTTTTTTATTATGATACTAAACGAATTCGAACCAAACTCTTGTTCGTCAACAGATGTTGGACTTGAGAGCGCAATGTTTCTGAACATTGATTGCTGCAGAATACAAGAACACACCTTCGCGTCCAATAGCTGCAAATAAAGATCGACTACCTGTTCGACAGCTACATCATCAGCTATTGATGCAGCCGGCAGCCCGGCAAGAAAAAGAAGCGCTCTATGTTCGGCAATGCTATGTGGTGCAGAAATCTTAGCCGCTATATTGAACCAAAACGTAGCCTTTCTTTCGCTCTTAGCAATTCTCCCCAAATCCCAACCAACAACAAACCAAATGGTAACGGTACGTTGGGAGTTGGTCCCGCACTTCCCTCCCCTAATTTTGCTTCTTTGTATCGAAACAAAATGATGAATCAAATATAAATACAACAACCATTAAAAGCAACAATAATAAAATAAAATAAAATAAAATAAAATAAAAACAGTTGACATTACGGTTGCTCGATCGTCGATCGACGGTTGCCACACAATAATTCTACACAGTTTGCCTTGTCTTGCGTTCAACCAAAACCAAGTCCTCCCATGTCAAAATAGTAAGGCAGAGGGAGACCAATTCTAGTTCACTAACTAATGCTCCAAATAACTAAAGACGACTGTGACACCAGTTTGCCGTCCACAACCGGAAAATATGATTGGAGGCTGTCCACGTGTTGCATTGGAGAATCATACAACTATTCTAACCATATCAATAATTCTTCAACGTCATAGCAGTAAGTTGATGAGATAGGCATCAGCAAGGACTGATGTCATCCCGTTATTTAAATCGTTGAATGTATGTGGAAACTACGAACCTACAGAGATTATTATATATGAAAAGAGACGTCGCAGAAAAATGATAAACCTGCAGGCTGCAGAAATCGTTGCAAACTTAAAAGAAACATCTTCGTATTCTGAAATGAAGTATACGCGATGACACTTTTTTACCCCTTCTTTCCTGAAGAAATAATTGAAGATGATCACAGAAGAATTTCCTGTACGATGTGGTCAACCATCACTTTTGACAGGCCTATTTAAAAAAAAAAAAACAATATTTCTACTTTTATTTGTGCATTGCCACAGTGATAGAATGCCAAAATGCATCTAAAAGAGGGAAGCAGAACACGTCCAACCTGAAGAAATCTCCTATTCGTTGTTGTTCTTGCATTCTGTGATTTAAGTGCTCAAGCTTTCAACTCGAATTTCCCAGGTTCGGTGTACTGCTTTTCGAGCTGCTCGGCTTGCTGGAATCTGAACCCTCTGATTCTCAACTCCTCAGGTACTGAGGTATCCTTGTAGTCCACTTTCTCAATGGCCCAACCCTTGTTCTTGACCGAACCCCCTACTTTCACCTGTCGATCGGATGTCTAATTTAGGAAACCGAGTATTTCGATTCATAGCATAATCATGATCAGATTATAAGCCGGTCGAATTACCTCAGCTTCATCATGTGACTCGACCACAAGAGCTCCATCTAACGAGATATTTTCTATGAATATATTACGACCTTTAAGAGCTAAGGTAGACTTTAGGGAAATGGAGGAACTTCCAGCAACTTTCTTCTTGACATCTGCGTATGTTAGCCCCCACTTTGGCTTCCATACAACACGAGGCCACACTTCCACCTCTTGCCCGTTGAATTCCTGCTTCACTGGATCTTCTACTTGCACGCCAGCCTGTTCAATGAACAGAAGAAAGTTGATAGTTGACGGGGGAAAATGTACAAGTTATTCAAGCAGTCTCAACGTAAAAACACAGCAACAAGTACCTTTCTGAGAATGAGGCTGTTTGCACGATAGACTGCCATTTCTCCAGAGGTTGCACTGTGATATGGATTGCCTTTGGGTACCTTCATTAAATAACCTTTTATTAAGAGCAAAAATTATATTCCAATGGAGGAAACGAAGATTGGATTTAGAAGACGGGCAGAAATCAACAGAAACAGAAACCATGAAATTTGAATGTAAATCCATCTTTTAAAATAAGGGATCAAGTGGATGAAGTTAGTTGTCCATCGAAGTGGGAAACAAGCACAAATAAGCCTAACTTCTATACTATTTGAATGGCAGGAGACAGCCACTTCCTTTCTTCCTTCCATACTGTCAAATCAAAATGTGGCCTATCACTACTATCATTTGAGACCTAAACCTACCAAACTCCTAACAGTGTCTAATTTCCTCAAACATCAATAGAATAAAATTTTACTCAGAAAACATCAGACTCACCTTGGCAGCATCCTCAGGGTTATTCTTAACTGGAGCATAAGCAACCCATGCATCCATAACCTAAGCCAAAAAATATAAAACATGGATATGAAGAAAACAATCATAGTACATAAGCAGACTATAGCTACTATAGCAGACTGCTGGCAAAAACTAAGCCTGTTAAAACCCATACTGTAAATTTTCAAGTTCATCAGATCCCCGTCATATTTTTGGCAGAAAAGTACTATATGATCAGGGTAGCATCATGAAAACAATGCAAGTTCAGACCGATGAATAAGGCACGTGCTTCTTTACAAACTTACTGTAAATCCAACCCTTGCTGATGAAGGTAAGGTTTTTGGATAATCCTGCATCATGCACTCCAGACGGGTGGATGACTTAAAGGCAGTTTTACTGGCATCTTTGTATCTGCATCAAGAAAGAAACAATGTTTCTTCTTAAGTTTCTCCGGGCACAATAAGGCCAACTTACAATATGTCACAAACATAGTCAGTGGCAGAGGCAGTACTTTGGATTAACGAACTCCTTTATAGCTCCTCCAGTTTTCTTCAGCTCCTCAAGGTACGGACCAAGTTCCATAATCAACTGCAACAATGACAATATAAGATAGGTAGGTAAAGGTCAGGAACCTATTAAGATGACCATATAGACAAATTAAGCCGACGAATAAGTCAAGGCATTCAGTTTATAGTGTGTAAACGACTGATCCATGTACTGGACCTACTGTTAACAACCAATATACAACTACATATACTGCATTGTTGGCCTATATATGATAGAGAGGATATAAATGGCTTGTGATAGGATTCCCCTCTTCTCTATATAAGATTAGGACACCATCTCAATTTTCTATAACATCATCCGATAATAGTGATAAGGGCGCAGGTTGAAGCAGGGTACTGTCATGTATTATAATAGCTCAAGCAAACCCAAAAGTAGTAGAAAACAAAAAGAATACAGGAGCAAGAAGGAGCACTTATTTATCCTCTACTTTCTGCAGATATACTTATTAAGAAGATGCATAAGAATTACCTGGTTGATGTTTCCTGGAAAAGGAGAATAGCCAGTTTCACAGTTAACATCTCCATCAGGATTCCCAGTTGCTCTCAGCAATGGGTCAAGTTGATTGTACTCTACATTGATCACCATTGACCTTCCTGAAACATCAGTATCATTTGAACATAATTAAGACCTGGATCAATGATGTATCTTTGAGACAAATATTAGATACAGGATTCACAATCTGATGATGTATGTATGAGCAAGTCTGGATCAATATTTGTACTTGGGTGGAAACTGGACCTCAAAGGTTCACATACTCTAAGAGTACTCGGTCATCACATATGGTCAGTTCAACATAATGTGCCTCACACACATCACCATGACTAAAACCTCAGAAAAAATACAACCAAGATCTATAAAATACTTCAAATCCAACTCAGCTATGTATTTAGGCTAGGAATTTACCGTCTGTATGAGTAAGCTTAGCGATTCCTCCAATAGCTTCTTTAGCTTTGCGAGGAACAGAAAGCGAGTTAACATGATATCCTTTCGTGGCACTGACTCCCAATGAAGCTGGAATTGCCTGCAAATAAGTGTTTCTTTCTTTCACTAAAGCACAAATAACACTTCTTGTTGCATGTACACGAACAACTTTTGATAGAATATTCAATTAAACAAGCAAACCTTGAAGAGAAGTCCATTGGTGTCTTGAAAGAATAGAACCCACCTCACACCAACACGCTGCCTAAGAAGACAGGAAATAAATCAAATCAATTACATATGTTTCTGTGAGTACAATGCAATTTGCTAGTACTAGTGACAAGAAAATTTAATGAGTGAGCAAAGTCTTCATAAAGAAAGGGTCGAGAAATGGATGGTAGAGGGCCAGAAAAACACGTTTAGTAATAAAGAACCCTTCCTCTGCAGTCTATGTGGACATAAAAGATGAGCACAAATGCAAGGTCGACTAGTTCTAATAAACAAAATATAAACGATAAGGTGCGCCAACAATATTATCGCATAATCCAAAAAGATAAGGTGCAGACATGATTAAAAAAACATGATAGGCATCAAACAAAGGGCAAACAAATAAACCAAGGAAGAGCAAGAATGGAACAAACGAATTCAGAAATGGCAGAAGCAATAAGCAATACCATTCTTCAAGTACCCCACTTGAGTAAAGAAGCGCATGAACATCACCATGACCGTGAGGTTTTGTCTGTGATTGAGCAGAAAATATATAAGAAATTATAGTAATACCAGACCTAGGGTACTAATACAAGAGACAGCCACCTGAATTCTGAACTTGTTTTGAGGATCCAAAGCAAGCCTAGCATCATTATCTTCTAAGCATGCAACTTTCTCCTGAGGATGGGATAGTTAAACAAGGTTGTTAATTTCCCAATCTAAACAGACCTCATATACCACAGTTATACCTGTTTAAGAAGTTTTATCTGAGCAGGTTTCATCCCAAAGTATGAGTTAGATTCCAAAAGCTGCATTGTACGTGCATGTGTGTCATCTGATGTCATGATCGCAAACGGAATGTCCCTTTTAGATTGACCTACATTGTGAAAGGAAGGAGGTCACACAACAGATCAACACTCGGCAATTTGAACCTTCAAATGGCATTTAAGGGGAAGATAATGTAATAAAAAAATAGGGTTGCTTAAATTGGGTGATTCTAGAATCTTAACAAACTATAGAAGCTAAACTACCAGCATAACACATAAGTTCAACACACATGTGATTTACTCATGTATTCGGTATCTCAGAAGACAGAAATGTTTTAGAACAGTGGGAACGAGGCTTCCATGAATGGTCAAGAGATTCATATATCATAAGCAAAAACACTAGGATAGCCGTAACATTCAATCAAGTCCAATTAAACTTTAAGTAGGTAGTCAGTGGTTGAAACTTGAAAATACACAAATTTTGCACAAACCTCCAGTGACTTTACAGCTAGCTTCCTGAAGGGCGAGAACGTTTTCAATGTAGTGCTGTAAGAAACAAGCTCCTGTTGTAGTCTCTCGTGGAAGAGCCACCTGCCATACATAAGGACATAACCAAATCAAACTGGCTGGTCAACAAATAGCTTCAATGACTTCAACACAACCATCTTTCTTTTATTTAACTAGAAGGTTTCTGTTTGTCTTTGGTAAAGTGAGAAAGATCCTGAACTGTACCAGGAACCTGGTTCACTCAATGGTTATAATAGTTTATGAATTTCAGAGCTGAAAATTGAAGAAGAAACCGCAAACTAGAAGTGAGGAATGAATGTGTGCAAGGTTAAAGCAAGTAGGGAACATAGCACTGGAAATTGAGTACAGTGCATATTGTGGGTGAGGAGGGATAACAGAATCTGAGTTCCAAATATTACCAAAATGTTGGAGAAAATGTTCTTCACAGATGCAGAACGAAGCCCAAATTCCTACAAGGATTTACCATAGAATTCAGTGATGCAAAGAGAGAATGTCTACCTTAATACCATTGTAACCAAGGCGCTCCCCAAGCCCGCCAGCAACAAGCACAAATGCTGCATTCTGAGCTTCCTTCACACCTGCCTCCTCAAATTTCATAAATGTTTCGTCACCATAGCTCAGGTTCTCTCCTGTTGGAACCTGAAAATAGGCATTCGACTTTACTAACATTCGCTTAACATAGAGAAATGGCGCCAATTACTTGAAAAGGAAAACAAACTGATATTCATAATAGCTAACATCAGCCTATCCCATTATTTGTACTTTGTAGATGTAGTCCATTCCCATCATTGGAGATGTTGAAAGGAAAGCAACAAGATGCTGTCAACTTCCACTATATGCCATGCACAGCATCTAGATAAGTTTCACTAACTAACGCATCGAATGCACGGCAAAGCCAGTCATCTGATTTCGTAATGGAGCATTCATTTTTTTCATGCAAGAGAAGAAATAAGAACAGAAAGTGGCAGAAACAAGGGTGGAGAAGACCAAACTACACCAAGGGTCTCATGTTAATGCTTTCAAAAGCTTATCACAACACTCAGAAACGCCTTCAGTAACTTCAGGTGCCATAGACACATAGAAAGATACTATCCAACCTTTAAGTGCTAACATAACAACAGAGGTTCTGCCTACAGTTTCCTCTTGGTCAGAACAACAATCTACTAACCCTATTTTCACGTCCATGCGTGTGTTGAACAAGTGTCTTCACAATCTTGTCCTACAGACTACAGAGGACATTTATTACCATTTTCGTGAAAGTTTAGAGCACCGGTATACATAACCTATATTTTCATAAGCACAGGAATCATGCACCAGCCTCTACCACCCTCCTTTTATTTTATCTTCTTCGATCATGTGAGCTTAAATGCTTAGTAATTCATAAGCAAGAAAATCACAATCTCACTATGAAATCATTTGTTTGTGAGATCAAAGTATTAGAGACATTCTTCCACAAGTAAGAAAAAATTTAGCCATCCCAACAATAACTGTAAGGCAAATTTCATGTAGAAATACTCAAAGTAAATTCCAAGACTCATATAATCTAATCTTAAGCATTTGTTGGCCTAATCATGCAATGATTTTAAATCACTGAACTCCCCAGCAAATAATAATAGTAATTGCAGCAGCGGAACCATGGAGTCTATCTGGATCAACTTACTGAAGGTGTAAACCCATCGAAAGGGTTCTTCCCCGTTTTGGAGTCAGCCAAGAGTCCCCTGGCTGTTTTGATATAAGATGCTAGACCTCCCGGATAGCTTGAATTCAGCCGCGCCACCTAAGCGGAACGCCGAAAACACAACCGTGGATTAGATGCTAGTACAATTTTGGACAAATAAAAGCCATTAAAACCAGAAAAAGGAAATAAAATTGGAGACCTGATCGAAGAATGCTTTTTTCTCGCCATCGTCCACCCCTGACTCCGGCCAGTGGCTGAACAAATGACTCTGTCCCATCTCCACAAGCATTTTCGCCAACTCAATCTAGGATCCGGCAACCACCATTTCCACAGCATTAAACCACAAATATCGTGGTGAATTGGTAGAAGAGAAAATCAAATCGCATTTTCGATTGATAGAAATGAGAGCAAGAACCAGCCAACGCAGTAAAGAAACAGAGTCTGCCGAAGATTCTCACCTGGTCAGGTGACAGAAGCGAGAGGTTCTTGTGCAGATTAGGGACGGAGGACGCGAAATCGCCATTGATGCCGAGCTTGGAAATGCCTTCCGTCGCGGATTCCATATCTGGATGAATATTTCTGCGGTTATTGGTTCGGGGAACGGACGGAAAACGGATCACAGATAGAAGGGAGGGAGAGGAGTGGATTTATATAAGAAAAGGAAAGTCAGTAGGAAGAGAGCGATAGAGCAGTTTCAAAAAATTGCGTAGAGGTTACGTGTCGGATTGGGACGCTGACGCCGGAGCTGACCGCTGTGTTCTTCATCGGCTCGAACCGCTCCGATCGGATCGTAAGAACCAACCGAGCACCTGTATCGGTAATCGTATTTGGGCCAAGTTCTGCTGGCCCAATGACTAGAGATGGGCTGAGCAAGAATCGCTCTCTCGGCCCAGCTTCCCCTCCGCCATCCCTCCGCCAAACGGGGTCCCTTTCTCCTTCCCTTTCTTCCTGGCGAACGTATGAGCAAGCAAGCCAGGAATTCAAAAACATTTCGCAACTCAGAAGGCAAAGGTAAGGTTAGAAGAACGTAGACCTTGTTAGGAATTATCAGAATACAACTCTTCAGATAGAAATTCCTGCTGTAGGATTTGCCAGGAGGTCGAAGGAGAGGCATTCTTCTTCAGCTTCTGGGGTTCACTTCACTAGAGTAAACAGCTGCCAGGGAGAAGATGGTGAGGCTCACCGCCGACTTGATTTGGAAGAGCCCTCATTTTTTCAACGCCATCAAAGAGCGTGAATTGGATCTTCGAGGTATATGCCAAACTCTGCTCTGCGCTCTCCACCCTTTACTGTCCATATGCGGGAGTTTTTAGGGTTCTGCTCTTTACGCTACTCCATGTGGGTTTAGGGTTTTGCTTCTCGCATGCCACTCTCTGTGAACACGTTTAAGTTGTGTACTTGTTTACTCTGAGGAACTCTTCTCTTTCGCATTTTGGCTATCTCAGGTAACAAGATCCCTGTCATTGAGAATTTGGGTGCTACCGAGGTAATTTTCTTTTTCTCCAACTCCTTGCTGCTCGTTTCTTTTTATACAGGATACGTAAAGGGTTAGTTAGGAATGCTAATCTTGGCTGCACGTTGCACTGAAGTATTGTCAGCATAGTCACTGATTAAGCGTATGCCAAACTTGAGGTTTACTAGTTACTCAAATTAGAGCATTCCATTGACCATTTGTGATAGTCCTCAAGCCTGCTTATTGTGTGAAAGCTAATCTTGGTTTTGGGTCAATTGCAACTTGCTTCGTCACATTCTAGTGTGTGATTGAAGCATATGCTAAAGTTGGAGTTATATAGTTCGTAAAAGTTGAGTCTTCCCCATATTTTTTGTAGCTAACAAGCCTGCATAGTGTCATTGTGATTCCTTCTTCTGAGGAGTCTCTTTTATTTCTTTCAAATCGCTTCTCTATGCCATGTGGGACCAGTTAGCTTTACCCGCTGCTGGGGTCATTCAGCTGTTATGTTTGAATGTACTCTGCTACTTTCTTTGATAGGTTATGCTACACATACTGAGTTCAACCTCTCTGCAATAAATGAGTCCCTCCGTTTGTTTTGCAGGACCAATTTGATACAATTGATTTGTCTGATAATGAGATTGTCAAGCTGGAAAACCTGCCATTTCTTAATCGCTTGGGCACTGTGCTACTGAATAACAACAGGATTACCCGTATTAGCTCTAGAATCGGAGGTAATGTTTGAAACTTCGAACGGATGTTAAATGTTGTGCACGTGTACTGAAGTAAACATCTTACTTTAAGTGTGGCCAATGTTCCTCAATTATTATGTTGTTCTTCTATGTTACAGAGTTCTTGCCGAAACTGCATTCATTAGTTCTGACAAACAACAGACTTGTCAATTTGGTGGAGATCGATCCTCTCGCCTCTCTTCCAAAACTGCAGTTCCTCAGTCTTCTAGACAACAACATCACAAAAAGGCCCAATTATAGGCTGTATGTAATTTTCAAACTAAAATCCCTTCGAGTTCTTGATTTCAAGAAAGTGAAAGCAAAGGTGAGGTCATGTTCAGATACTGTATGTCTCAGTTACTTTTATGTATCTATACTCGTATTTCAAGTAAAGAATCCATGAATGTTCCTTTCCCATTTTCCGTCCTGGCTTTATTTGTTTCATTTTTTAACTAGGCAAAGCTTATAGATTCCATTGTTTACTCCTCCGAATCTCTTTCCCTCTTGGCTTCTATAACACTTCTCCTGCGGCGGATTCTCTTTTCGTCCTTGGTCCTGAACGCTCAAGGAAGATTTGGAACCCCAACCTTTACCCTTTTCAAATAGTCCAATATGCATTTTCTCTACCATTTCTTACGGGAGGCCATGACTTTTTATTGATTTTGACGATTGGAGGCTTTCAAGGCAATATAGTCAGACAGTGTATCTGTGCTTCCTCCAGCAGGGGATAAAGCCTTTCCGAAGCATACCTTCAAATTCATTTGCTGGTTCTTTTTGCCTATACTTGGTTGAAATGTGGTTTGATGCCCTCTTGAATTTTATTGCTCATTCTGTAGATCATCACTCATGAATAAGTTAGAAATTGGAAGTCAGTCCTTAAGTAGTCACCTTCCATAAAGTTGGGGACTTGCTAATTTACAGTGCTTGTTTCACATCATCTACTGTTGAAGATCGGCTCTGTAGCTGCTTTATATGTACTTGCTATTTGCCTTATTCCTGCATCTGTTATCACGTTTGCATTTTGCTGATAAAAATGGATTTGGATGTTTAGGAGAGAGCAGAGGCAGAGATCTTATTTGCATCTAAGGAAGTAGAAGAGGAAGCTAAAAAAGAAGTTGTTAAGCCTTTCACCCCTGCTGAGGCTCCTATTGATGTGGATGTTGCAGGGGAACAACAGAATGCAAAGGTGGTAGGACCCACACCGGAACAAATCATAGCTATTAAGGTACTGTCCTTGAAAAAACTACTTGAAAATGCCTGGCTATATTGTTTCTATTTGCATCGAGTGTAATGTTCTACTAGTTGATTTACTTGGTTGTGCTACGTGTTTCCCGAACAGGCTGCCATTGTGAATTCTCAAACTCTTGAAGAAGTTGCAAGACTAGAGAAGGTATACTTTCTATTTAGCCTGATGTGGTCATCACAACCGATAATTTCCGTCTCCACCCGTGTTATTATTCAAGTTAACATTTTATCTATTGGTGAATGATGGCAGGCATTGAGCACGGGGCAGCTTCCAGCGGATTTGAAACTTTTCGATGAAGTGCCCCAGTCAGACACTAGTGCAGGAGAAAAAGACGAGGAAATGACCACTGATGAGATCCCTACTGGACCTACAGATATGGATCAGGTAGGTTTTCTGGTTTTCATTTTGTCCGTGCAGGGATTATTGTCACCGTTGTGATTAGTTCTGTTTTGTAATGCCACACCATCTCTTTTCTTCCGTGTCTCAGGAATAGGTTGGTTATTGGGCTGTGCTGGTGAAGAAAGGAGATTGCCTCGGCGTTTTCTCGAGCCTGATCTATAGTCGTTTTTTGGCTAGAAGGGTTTACATTACAAAATGTTTTTCAGACGCAGGAGATAATGTGACGAATCCCTAGTTGTAGGGTCGTTGAGATGAGGCATTTCGTCTCTGTTTAAGGAGGTATGGGAAGAATTGATTCTCACTTGTACAACTACAACCCTTTGTCTGTGGGGCTTTGTAGTGGCTAATGAGCCAAATCACAATGAAGCTTGCCTCAGAATCTAGCAAGAGAATTTTGGTTCCGACTTTTAAAGTTTGTAGATTTGTCTGATCTGGTCACGAGACTTTTCATTTTGGGTGGGTAAATTGCAAGGTTGTCATTGAAAGTGCTAAAAGAATTCACATTTGGTCACTGAAAGTATTTTATTTCATTCGTGGTTACCGAAAATGGTTAATATTTCACGTTTGGTCACTCTCCGTTAGTATCCGTCAGCCTCCGTTAACACCGTCAGTTTTTTGCTGACATGACTAACAGAAATGCTGATTCATCAAATTTTAACCGACCACATCATAAAATTTGACCCGCCATGTCATATAACCCGTCACATAAGACCCGGTACATAAACCAACCTAATTCAATCCCCACCCGACCTGAGCCTCTCTTCTTTTTCCTTGTTTCTCCTTCCTCTATGAACTGTCGCCTCTATTCCCACTTTGATTATTTGTGATTTCTGATCGAAGGAAGGACAAGAGAGTGAAGAGCGTCGGCGACGAGTTGCGAGAGGATGACGGCTTTCGATCTCCCTCCTTCCAGCTTTATCTCTCTCACCGACGGTGCTCCTCTGCTCTCACTACGTGCCTCTGTCTCTCTATTAAGGTCAATCCATCACCGACTTTCCATTCGGAGAAAAAGACCGAATTAAAACTTCGCATCGCCGCTCCTCGAATCGCTAGAGATGAGAAGGTGAGACGACGATTGGGGAAGACCTCGAATTGGGAAAACAGATAGTCGGAGGATTAGAGGGCGTTGTTGTGTTCGGAGGATTGGAGGGTGGAGAGGGGCAAAAGCAACCAACATCGATCTGGTTCTCAGCAAAAAGTCTCGTCCAAGTTTTAATCCTAGATCTTCGTCTTCTTGCTATCTCTGGCCGCCCATCGCTTGGGGGAAGATTTGGGCGGAGAGCCGCCATTGAGCTTTGTGGGGGAGTTGACAGGAGGGATTGGAAGAGAGAGAAGGGATTGGAAAAGACTGTTGGAGCCTCCAACTTGGAGGTCATAGAGGAGGAGGAGGAGGAGGAGGAGGAGGAGGAGAGCAGGGCCAAGGCCGTGATGGTGGCATGCGGGGATGGTAGGCGGCGGCGGTGGTGGGAAGGTAGGTGGGGTCTGGTCGGTTCGAGTAGGGTTGGGTTAGGGGTTAAAAAAATATAGGGTTAGGTTATGCTGAGGGTCTGATGTGGCGGGTTAAAATTTGGTGAATCAGCATTTCTGTTAGTCACGTCAGAAAAAAACTGACAATGTTAACGGATGCTGACGGAGACTAACGGAGAGTGACCTAACGTGAAATTTTAACCACTTTCAGTAACCACGAATGGAATAAAATACTTTTAGTGACCAAACATGAATTTTTCAACACTTTCAGTGACCAACTTTGCAATTTACCCCATTTTGGGTAGGTGGGCAATGGATTAGACATTTCTGTCCACTTCATAACAATTGGAAATAGGTGTCACTGCGTCAGTCTGAAAGCTTAGAGCATCTCCAAAGGAATTTATTTGTAATTTCATTGGTACCTACTTACAGAGGCGGATCTGAGTCAACATAATTTGATATTTTGGCATTATAACCGCAAAGAAAAGCTTCTTGAATCAATTAAGAAGTTTCTATTCCACATGTGGCTAAGTCAAGTCCTTTCCAATACTTGATTTAAACACATCAATCTAACATTTCAAACTGGGAAAGGGTTTTTAATTAGTGACAATGGTAATTTGGGTATTATGAAAAATTATGAAATATACAAACCGGACTTACAAACAATACACACTAGAATAACAAAACATACAAATAGATTTACAAACAATACAAAAATACGAACTAGACCGACAAACAATACAAATCATACAAAATGCAAAACAACCAGGCTGACTTTGCAGACTCCATCCCTATATAGAGGGGTTCCGTCTCAAAGTCACCCCGATTGTTTTTTAGACATACAAACATTACAAACATCAGGGACAAAAATGACAAACTAGACCGACAAACCATACAAAATGGAAAATCACTCGGGTTGACTTTGGAGGCTCTATCTCTATATAGAGGAGTTTCGTCCAAAAGTCAATCAGGGTGTTTTTTAGTCATAAAAACATTACAAATATGGTTGAAAAAAATGACAAGCATGATGGACAAAAATAAAAAACCTTATAAACATTAAAAAATAACAAAGCTTACAAATATTACATAACAAATCGACAAACATTACAAAACATACTAACAGTACAAGATGTCACTACTTACAATACAAATCTATAAACTTGTATTACAAAATAATGAATACAAAGTATAAAAATCATAACATAAAATATACAAACTAGACAAACAAACATTACAAATTACAATAATAGATAAACATTACAAATTAGTCGCATAAAAATTACAAACATAATAGATAAAATGACAAACTAAAATGATAAACTATACAAACTGAATCGCTACAAACATAACAAACTAGACTTACCAACATTATAAAATAGTTCGACAAACATCACAAAGTTGGCTTTGCCGCCGAAAAATCCCGCATCGGCAGAAAATCCTCTCTGCCGCAGTCACCAGAAGTCTCTCTCTCTAATAAGTTGTAATTGAAAGTTGCACTAAAGAGGAGTTTCCCTGGCTGGCAATGGAAAGTTCCCTGGCCGGCGGAAAGGGAAGAGACGAGACAGAATTGCAAAGATCCCTTGCCGGCGACGGGAAAGTTCCCTCGCCGTGGGAGGAGAAGAGACGGGACGGAGAAAAAATCATTTAATAGTTAAAAATTAAAAGAATCTTACCACAATGTCCTTCATTTAATTAGATTAATTAGAACCATCAGATTTTAATGAGGTTGAAGGCCTAGGATTCACTTAGTCACATGAGTAAGGGGACCTCCCTTAGTCACCTGATCTTACCCCCTACTTCCATCTCTACAACTTTTCTTATATTTGCTTGACTTGAACTTTTTTGTTCATATTTAACATTATGGCCAATCTTTTCGAAATATAACATTGTCGCATGAACTAACCCTAAACTTTACTAAATGGGCCAAACCCGAGGGTTGATCGTTATGACTGACGGTAAAAATCATTGACTGACGGTGACTAACGGTCAACCCGCCACGTAACCTCCAATTCAACATCTTTTAACTTAAAATATTAAATTTTTTGACATATTACCATTTTCTATTTAGTTTGACCCAAATGAAAAAAAAAACTTAAGCTCCCAATCCATTCGCCTCATCTTCTCCACCTTGAAGCTCGCCTTTAACTCCTCTGCAACTCTCAAATTCGCCTCACCGTTGGAAACCCTCTGCTTCGAGATTCGCCGCTAGATCCGCCATTGCCTCGATCTAATCCCGCTGAAACGTCGTTTCCTCGTGGTAGTACATACTCAAAACCACAATCTCCTTCGCCTTCCCGCTCCTTTGAATCGTCGTCGGAAGCAGCTCTCTCGTTCTGATTCTCAGGTCTTGGCTGGTCTCAACAGCGGCTGTTTGGCTTCACTTGTGCATGTAGGGGTGGTTATTGAGTCCACACTTTTGGTTTTACCCGAAATCGGACCATATACCAGGATCGGATAACAAACAATTCGATCCCATCTTCGGGCTTAGATTTGAGGTAAAAAAAAGTTTGAGACCGGACCGGAAATTGAATAAAGACCGGATAAGAGAGCCCAAGACCCAAAACTTAACCAACTCCTCACCCTTTCAGTCCCTAGGACACTAAAAATCCCACAATCTCAATATAAAATCAAGACCGAATTGGGACCAGGTCGGATCAAGACCGGATTGTATCCAATCCAATCTTTGGTCCTTATATTCCCAAAAAGACCAAACTGGAACCGGATCGATTTGGGTCAATTTAACCAGACCGGATCATATAGTCACCCCTATGCGCATGCATGCCTCACCATTCAATATAGTCTTTCCCTTACAATTTCCACCACCAAAAATCATTTCCCTCCAATTTCCCTCCAATCCATCGCCTCTATGGAGATCGATGGCGACAACGGCTACAAAACAGAGCTCCACCGTGACTCCATCACCGTTCTTGATAGAAGCAACAACTTCAAAATCGATGATAGAACTGTCTCGCACCGCCACATTCAGTTCCACTTCAATGAGGTCGACAGATGAGGAGAATACCCGACACCCGCAGGAAGTAACCAATCTCGGTCGCTGACTAGGGTTTCGTGTCATGTCCTCGAGAAGAACACAGTCTAGGTGCGAACTGCCGGTGAGGAAAATCTTTGTTTAATTTAATTATAATAATTCCAAATTAGTAATATGAGGAATTTAGGAATTTTTTTAAGTTTATTCAAGCTGAGTTGGCGATGAACTCTTGAGTTTGGTCAATTTAGTAAAGTTTAGGATTAGTTGATGCCACGATTTTATATATGAAAAAGATTGATCAGGATGTTTCTTCTTTCTTTTTTTTTTTTGTAAAAAGATTGATCAGGATATTAAATATGGAAAAAGTTCAAACCAGACAAATATATTAATCTTAAGAAAATACAATATCTCAATTTCATCCTACCTATATCAATGAAATTCCTTTGCAATTTCAATGGGTGGAATCATCACATTAGTTTAATATAATCTATACACTATTTTCATAATTTTAATTCCTTAAAATATATAATAAGGATAACGAAGAGTTCCACCTACGAGTCCCTTTGAATTGCAATAAAAATTGTATATGATATAAATTTCCACCCTACATCACACATCAATGTCATTTAAAGATATAATTGCATTCCTTATCACTTGCCATCAATGGCGGAGCTATGGTAATGACAGGGGAGGCTATAGACCCTCGTCAACTCTCAAAATTCCGTTTTGTAATGTAAAAAACGATTATTACAAACCAAATCATCTTTCTCTTTTGCGAATTTGTCTTCTCTCTATTGCCAAAGTTTCATTCAATGCTTTTGTACATTAAATAATCGTATTATATTTCGTGTTTAGTAAAAGTATAAGTAAATTTTGTAATAAATTGGCAAAATATAGTAGTTAATATGGCGTTAGTCCTCCCTCACCAGTTCGAATTCTCTGTGTAAAATTTTAGTCTCCCTCATTCAAATTTCTGGCTCCGACACTACATACCACATAAACTTGCAAGTCTCTAGAATTGCTCAAGTGGAGATGCTCTTCTAATTAGCTTGGTTGACTATTAAGTTATAAGAGAAGCCTGCGGTGTCATAAAGAGTCCTTAAGCTAACTACATTGGGAGCATCAGCAAGGGAAATGTTGAGAAATGTGAGTATGTGTAGAGAAGGAGTAGCACTATAATGGTTGAACAAATTAGTTATTGGCACTAGAGGAATGCTAGTATTTTATTTTCCTCATATTGATATTAGCATCGGCTTACTATCGAGTTGATATAATTATGACTCATTATCCACTCACATTCTGTCTTCGGGTTAGGTTGGTTGGGTAGCGAATGAGTGGGGTTGGATTGTGGAATAATTTGCAGAACAAATTCTTCAACTAGCCATTAAAAAAATTAACTAACATTTAGAATAAGTTCATAGCAGATTAATAAGACTAGCAATTTAGATTTTAGACACTTCCCATTTTGTCTCCTGTGGATCTTGTAGTATTTGCATCAAATTTTTCAGTAGTTCATCAACCAAATATGTAGAGAAATTTGACTCGTTTTGTGACTTTGATACAATTATTAATTTATAGTTTCTATCTCAATATCTAATGGACACTGCACAACATAGTAATCAATAATAGTAGTCCAAAAATAAAATTTGTACTCCACATTAGAATTTGATGGTCAGTCTATAGTGCGGTTAGAAAATATGATGGATATTAGATATTATAAACAATAAACAATTTTTTATCATGTGAAAATATGGTGCGAGTCATTCGGGTGACCTGCAATCCACCCACTATCCACCTAACTAAGTGCATGTAGTAGATTTATCAACCGCAATCCACCTACCTATTACGATTAGGGTTATTTACGAGTGGATCAATGTCAAACCACGAGTTAACCATCCACGTGACCACCCCTAGCTACCACTCCTCAATTGCGTTTATCGTTCCCAAAAATCCCATCCAAAAGCTAAATACTCCAGGCTGGAAATTTGTTACCCCCTACAATACCACATGAAACCTCTCCGAGAGCAGAACAATATAAGCTAGAAGTTTTAGAAGTTTTGTACCGCGATTTCAGATATAGTCGATATTTGGTATTATTGAATATACATGTATTATGTTATGGGATTGAGATTAAGTTTGAATTTATGTGATATTTGGTATTAGAGATTACATGATTGGAATCAGTATATTGAAATACCGATCAATAACGAAATATAAGCAAACGCTAGTATGAGATTACGAGATTGGGATCAGTATATACCGAATACCGTATCAAATTTACAACTATTTTGGTATTACCGAATACCGACTTATTTTTTAGAGATTGGGATTGGATTTCATTTTTGAGTGCTACTTGGTATTCGAGATTACGAGATTGGGATCAGTATATACCGAAAATTAAAAATTAATGAAATATAACATACAACCTTTGGTCATTCCTCACTCTTTCACAACTTAGAAGCCCCTATCCAACTCAATTTTGACTTTCCAGTTTAAGTCACATTCGTCTCTCACCCAATCTCTTGTTAATTTCATAACACCAAAAAGCAAACGCTAGTATGAGTCGTCTCTTAGCCACCAATTCGTCAAATTAAAAATAACCAATGAGAAAAATTTGAGATATCACATCTCCTCCATTCTCCTTATCCATATCCTAACTTTAGGCAAACTCAAGACTTAGTCTCTTTGCCCTAAATAAAACAATTTAATATAATTCATATATTTAATTATTAATTGCAAATGTAATTAATTTCGTATACAATATACTGATTGAGATATCGAAGTACCGATTGGGATACCGAAATATCTAGGGATTGAGATTGCGATACCGAAATTATTTAAGGATTGGGATTGTGATTGATTTTAGGGGGGTCGTTTTGAAGTTGTGATTGTTAGAGTTGTGTTATTGAATACATGTATTATGCACAAAACAATGTTTAAACAGAGACATCTTTTTTCTAGCATTTCCCAAAAAGTTGATAAACTAGGTGAATAAGTAAAAGATATTCGTTCTTTTCCATCACTTTGGCATGGATAAAAAAAATATTGTGACATTTCCTTTCTTACAGCATTTTCTAATTCATTGTTTTTTATATACCGAAATGGGCGATTCCAGCAGAAGTGACAAATTGTAAAACAATGCATGTATTATTTTAGGTAGGACCCATCAACAATCACAGTACCGTCATCCTACATGTCATGATCAATGTTGTTTTTTACCAAGTAATGATAAGAGAGAAAAGTTAGAGAATAACTCTACCCAGCCAAAAATTCCCCCAAGGGAACACCATAGTGAAACCACTGTACAAAAGTCAAAGAAGCTAACTATAAAGAGAACAACAAAGGGCTATACATGCCACTTTATAGGCAGCTTAGTTGGTAGTTCGCGAAATTGCCCTACAAACTATACATTGAGGTAAAGACCCAAGTAACTAACGAACCTCTCAAAGCAGGGTGTCGCCCAGCGAATCCACCCCAGCTCCTTGGTTATTTTGACATATCGCCACTTCAGAGTCACATTCCACAATAAGTTGAGCCAGACTTCTTGAGATTGCAAGTGAAAATGACATATCTAGCAGCAAGTAGCTCTGCATGGTAGGGACCATAGATATCTTGATGCATGACCCCTCTTTTTCTTCTTGATTGTTTTACCAATTTTTAATTTGATTTGGTTGTTCTTAGGTCTGATGGTATCATGGGTTGGGTTGAGGAAATCTGATATGGCGGGTAAAAATGACGTGGCGAGTTGGACCTCCTTTTTACGGGTTAAATCAAGGTGATTAGGTGATACTGTTAGTCACGTCAACATATAGCGGACTCCGTTAACGGATGCGGCCGGAGACTAACGAAGAATGATCAAACGTGAAATGTTAACCACTTTCAGTGGCTACGAATGGAAAAAAAAAATTTAGTGACCAAACATGCAATTTACTCATTCATTAAGAGTTAATGATTTCTCACTTCCTTGTATAATTTGCTAAAACCAACATGAATAGACATAAATTGATTGTAGCATTGGTTGGACCATACATAATAATAATAATAATAATAATAATAATAATAATAATAATAATAATAATAATATAAACCGGTTTAACAAAGTTAATGATAACTACCCGAAATCCTGCATGAAGGTTGTCAAACCGGTTTATACCGTTGTGCCGGTTTGGCAAGTGGAATGGTACGACCGGTGGTATAACCAGTTTGTGCCGGTTCATGCCGGTTTAAAAAAAATGTGAAAACAACTAATATCCAATGTATTTAATTATGTATAAAACATATTTGTGGATAATTTAGTTACAATCCAACAAATATCATCAAGTTTTAACTATTACATTCATAAAATGAATAATAAATTAATTTTTTTATTCATTAAATTCATTAAAATGATGTCATTTTACTTAGAATACGTGAGTCGATCATATCGATAATACCAGTGATGTCATGCCGATTTCATGATCGGCACAGGTTGAACCAGGTTCAACCGTGTGGCATGCCACCGGCATGACAACCATGCCTGCATCCAAAAGATCCTAATGGTTAGCACGGCATCTTGTTCTCATCCAACAGAAACATATTAGGCCCCGAGGCCCTAACTACGCGGAAAAATATCAGACGGGGAAATAACAGAACAACTTCCCCGATGAACGCTCACCGCCGGCCGACTGTCGAGTCGGACACCGATGATTCCGACTCGGAGACGATGCGATGTCTCTCGTGCAAGGAAGAGTACGACTCGATCGACGCCGGAACCTGCAAGGAGTGCTACGACGAGGCAACCGAGACCGAGCAAGAGTTGAAGAAAGAGATCGACGATCTCAAGGCTAAGATCGCCTTCTTGAAATTCTGCTCCGCTATCGGTCAGAACCACTTCGACGGCAAATTCTCCGACGTCGTCTTGGTCGCCTCCGACGACCAAGGCCCCGATTGCTCGTCTCCGTTGCCCGTCCCTGCTCACAAGGCCGTTCTGGTCAGTGACATCCTGCCTCCCTAAGTCTTAATTAAAAGAGAAACGCTCGTCTTTTGGCCATTTCCGTTTCTTTTAGGGCACCTTTTAGATGGAAAAAAATGGAAACCAATCAGCTTGGCATTGCATAAAAATCTAGGTGGAATGCTCTCCCATAAACAGGAAATATACAGCATAAGCATGATGTTGGAGTTGGTAAAGGGCTTTAGGTATTTTGGTTGACTGAAATGTGTTGTTTCGTGGAAGGTCTGGTTGTTCTTGCTTGTTATAGACACTTTGCAGAGCTTCCATCCTGTACTGCTACTGAATTGTTTATTGGAAGGTGGCATGGCGATAAGCTTGTCAAATGCTGGTAATTTTTTTACTGAAATCTGAACTTGGAATCATCCTCTTAAAGTTTTTGTTTCTTGTTTTCTGTGAGTGTGTTTCAGTTTGTCGAACTTAAGATGACACGTCCAGATCAATGTTCACCAATCACCACTTTGAATGCATTTGTCGAGAGAGTATATGAATCGTCTTTTGGCCATTTCCTTTGCTCTCTAGGGTACCTTTAAGATGAGAATCCCCACTTTTGTTGGAAAATTGAAACTGGGTAGGTTGAAATTGCTTGATCTTGATTTTGGATTCAGAAAATGGCTTGAATTCTTGATTGGACTTGGAGGCATGCTTTAATCACTCACGTCTCAGCTTCAACTACTTGTCAATCCCCTGGAAAAGGAAAGGAAGAAACAAGTTGAATGATTGTGTTGTTTCCTTGAAGGTCTGGTTGTTCTTGTGTGTTATAGGCATGGGTAGGGTCTTTCATCTCTTGTAATAACTTGTCTATTGAAAGAGGGTATTGACTAAACTTCTTAACTTCTGTCTTGTGTTTCCTGAAATCTGAATTATTCCCTTGCTTAAACATCCTCCCGAAGTCTTCCCTGGTTTTCTATATTCCTTTCCACTTTTGGAACAATTTGTTGAATGTGAAATGGTACTTCTGGATTGATTTTTACATTCAATGCAGCTCTGCATAGGTACCATTTATAAAAATGTTAAGATGCGGTGTGAAGCTGTAAGAATTTATTGATAATTTTGATGTGGTAAATTACTAGCTGTCTTGTCATTCCTTTTTGTGTCGAACTATGGTCTGTGTATGTTCCTTCTGTGGAAGCTTTCTTAAATGTTTTTGTTGAGTATTCAACCTTGTTGTCCAAACATTTCAAGCAGCTAGGACAGTTTGTTATCTTCAGGTGAATCAGTACTCAGCATATGTGGTTTAATCTAACCCAGGCATAACATGAAACACCGAATTGGGAAAAAGTGGGTGGAAGCTTTAGTTATGTGAAATTTGCTGTCCCTGTACTTTTTATTAGTTCTAATGCTCTTTAACCTGAACAGGCAAGCCGCTCCCCTGTATTCAGAGCAATGCTTGAGAACCAAATGGAAGAGAGCATCAGTGGAACCATAAAAATCCCCGACGTATCATACGATGCACTCAGAACCTTTGTCAACTACATGTACACAGCTGAAGCACGCCTCGATGAACAGATGGCCTGCGACCTTTTGGTGCTGGCAGAGAAGTATCAGATCAAGTATCTCAAAGGTTACTGTGAGACCTTTCTGGTCTCCAGATTGAACTGGGATAGCTCGTTGATGAGCTATGCATTCGCTCACCAGCACAATGCAAGGCATGTGCTCCAAGCTTCGTTGTCTCTGATCACGGAGAACATGGACAAGCTCACTACACGGGAGGAGTATTTGGAGCTGGTGGAGAAAGATCCAAGGCTTGTGGTGGAGATATACGAAGCGTATCTTGGGAAACAGGTGAATACTGCTGCAGCTCGCGGGGATTGCTCCAAGCAGAAGAAGCTGTAGGGGGGCAGTTGGTCTAGTATAGATTGTGAATGTGGGTAGTAATTAGTCGATGCAGTTTTTTTGTTATTCATCTTTTTCCTAGGATGGTTATCTCAAGAGGACGCTTATTATCAGAAGAACCGGGCTGTGACCCAATGTTGTCAGGATGGAGATTTCATGGAAAGTCTAAATCATGGGTGAATTTGAATCGTAGGATATTACACAAGATAATATTGAAAATTGAGTATAATCTTGATTTTAAGAACATTGGCCTAACTAGCTTAGCGATTACTTCTATAAATTTCCAGCAGAGAAAAGAAAACAGATTTGGCTGCAGAAATAGAAGCCAACTCCCATGGGTTCTGTACAGTTTAAAAAACACTATGCATGTAAAAAACTTTGGATCCCTTGGAAAAGCAACAGCTTCTTCTCTGATGACTCTGCACTTCCCTATACTCTCAATTGGGAGTCCCCAGTTTTAGCCTTCTTTTCTTTACGGCCTTTCTTGTTCTTCCCATGCCCTCTTCCCTTTTGAGGTCTTTTGATGAACTCTTTATCTATACAACCAATGGAAAAAGAGAAGAAGCCAAACTTAGTCTCTCAGTAGCAACAGTACTTTCCTCTTGGTATTGAAATGATCAACTGGAAGTGTACTCTATAGCAGGTTAGTTTATCCAGGGGCAACTGTTATACGAAGCAAGTTACAAACAACGACTATAAAGACAACTGCACAATTAGTTGTGGGAAGCTCTTGAGATGAGAAAAAGGGTACAGTGGGGGAGGTCAGGGCATACGTTTCTCGCACGCCAAGAACTTCCAGCTCGCATGAGGTCCTTCGCTCGTGTCATGAACCATAACCACCCATCCCATTGCGGATGCTACATCATGGATTTCACCAATAACTGCTAAGGTGTCTCGAATGTACACAGTTCCACCAGGTCGTAGCATCCTGTCCATCTCCAACAAGATGGTCGAAAAGTTGCACTTGGCCCTGGAGCATAGGTTAAGGCATGGAAAGGAAACATTGTGTAGGGTTGGTCAGATATTTGTTCCAGAGGCATAAGTAACAAAAGGACATAATGATTTTGCTGACCTTTTCCTCTCGTCGGAGAATAGACCTGCTGCATGGATGAGGTCATACGATCTGGGGTAAGTGTCGAATGGCTCACACCTGAGTTGAAGACAAGGGATCATTAGTTGTGATTTTGAACAACTTGAGATCAATCAAATCCAGAAAGCTACGCAGACCAGACTAGAAAGGAGATTGGGCAAAGCCTACGGCTTTTATATATTTCCAACTTCTTTTACCTCTGTGGTCACCTTATCCATATAGCAGAGTTGTCCTAGTCTCATTCAATTTCTTACTTGAATTTGTATAAAAACAAGAGGTGGAAAATGAGCATACCAGTCGTGCATTACCCCAAGGAGTCCACGGTCATATATAACAGGCAATGTGTTGAAGCCATTAACAGGAACAACATTCATAACCCAAGAAGTCAGTTCCAAGTCATTCAAAGCTGCTGCAAAGCTGCCAAATGAACACGACTTGAGACTGGAGTGGAAGAACCCTAAAATGTTTCGAAGTGTTCAAATTTCAATGATATGACAAATAGCAAGAGAGAGAAAAGTACTGTACCCTCCGAATCCAGCCCTCATATCTAGCACATTCCGAAAATTCTGCTCTTTCCAATGGAATGCTCTAACGTAACTCCCTATTATCTCGTTCCAGTATCTTGATTCTGCTTTCATCAGTTCCTTCCTCGATATCATTGCATCCATTTTAATACTCTGTAGTCTATCTGGAGGAGAGTGAAGTCGTGCTGGCCACACAGAAACATTTCCTCCATTCCCGTCCTTTGGCAATGGAGTTATGCATGCTGTCATATTCACATACCTGCAAAAATACACATAACACCATCACTGTGAGGCAGTATTATTTTTTAACTGAGGTAGTGAATCCAAAGTCAGGTCCAAGCCATACCAGACATTGTCCGGATCCTCGCTGGAACTACACAGTGGTGGTTGCGCTCCAATCTCCCGGCCAAGATAGCAGCTGTTGTTCAAAGGCTTACGCCATATACCAACATTACCTTCCTTCTTCACAAGTTGCCAACAGATTCTTGCAGCAAGGTCCCCCATTTCTGAACCATTATAGACAATAAGCAATCAGAATGTCGAAAAATGTTTGTTCGAATGCTCGTCTTTATGACAAACTGATATGAGAATAAGCCTTTAGAGATCCACAGTAGGACTAGGTCACCTTTCCACTGGTCCTCTAAACTGAGCTCATGGTTACTATCAACTTGTGGCCCTCCCCACACGAAATATCGTCCTGCCCTCAGCAACCTGTTCACCTCCAGAAGCAACACTCCATCTTCATTATATCCAATAGAAAAACAAGAGATCACCAAACATTTCATAGAAAACTGAGAAATAAAACCTAATAATAAACTCTCTTGAGAAGTAAACATACTGTCGACAGTCCAGTCAATTCCAGATCCTGAACAACGTATCAAGTCAAAAGCTTGGCTCGCATAGGGCAACCTACGAGCACCAAACCCCGCTACCATGGCAGGAAGGCCTCGCTCCAGTGCGAACTGAATCTGATTCTTATGAACATCTTTCGTCCCAATCGAAAGTGTAACCACATTGTACTTAAACAAAGACGCTGCAAAGCTCCCAATCCCTGAACCAATGTCTAAAGTAATGCGTGTTTGATGGCCGAAATCAATCTCAGGAACCATCTGAAGATTTCAAAATTCAGTTCAGCAATCACACAATCAAACAAGTGTTCCATTGTTCTTAACGAGGAAAACTACCTGTGAAACCAAGTTCAAATATTGATCACTTCCACCATCCTGAAAACTGATCTTATCATCTTTCACCGACATCGAATACTGGCTGCCTTGATCTTGAACCAGGCGTGTATCAGGCACATTATGGAGCCAGAGCTGTTGGAATTGAACAAAAACCATGCCAAGCTCAACGATAAACCCTAATTGGCTTCAAATTACAAACCATGAAATCAAAAATTAGCTCCAATAATCCATTACCTCGTCTCGGCTCCTGGGCCAGGGGATGGATTTCTGGTAGCCATTTGGCATAGGGATGATGCAATCGAGAGTTGAATCGGGGCAATGCCTTTCGAAGCTGTCCAAACATGGAATGTAATCGATTTTGCTTTGGTCGCACGGTTTGAACTTATCGTACTTGACTATTTTAGGTTCATTCCTCTTCTCTGTTTCTTCTGCTCCTCCCCCAAGATCCCTGAGCTCCTCCATCAAGCTGGGATCGAACTCGCCGACGTCGAAGTCTTCGGTCATGGCTCCGTTCTCGTCCACTATCCCCGTCCTTTGCGCCACTGACGGAGGCGGCGGAGGAAGTTTCTTTACTTTGGGTATAGCAGAGGAGGGGGAGGAGGAGTTTGACGCGATGGAGGTGGTGTTGGCGGCGATGGAGGTGGAGTTGGCTTCTACCAAAAAAAAAAGAAGTGGAATTGGCGGGGACGGCGGTGGGAGAGGAGTTGGAGGCGAAGGTGAAAGCGGAGAAGGCGGCGGAGGGAAAGGAAGGGTGGTGGTAGAAGAGGAGGGCGACGGAGAGGGAGAGGAGAGCGACGGCAGCGAATTTGACGAAGTTGGGGGTTTTGACTAAGTGTAAGGCGGTGCCGACGGCTGGAGTGGGGCTGCTGGGTTTCATGGCGGCGGCCGTGGGAGGGTGGGAGGAAGGTGGAGAGGCGGTGCGGTGGCCGCTGTGGGGTTTGAGGCTGGCGCGGCGAGATTGGGGAGAAGAAGACAGAATCAAAAGGGAAGGAGGGAGAAGTAGCAGTGAAGGAAGTGTCCGACGTGGGATGCGGGGAGGACGGTGGGGCCTACCGCCGTTCAGTTAGGCGAGATTTAACAGCTTGGTCATTGAATTCAGAGGTGCAACAATTAATAAAAGACGAAGGCAAAATACACCTGTGTAGCCAAAACTTTGACCGTTTAATCAAATATAGTCACTTTTGATGAAATACCAAAAATAGTCACTTCCGTCCAATTCTTTGACGGTGTGAGTTAACGTGCTGACTGTACTAACAGCAGCCGTTGATGTGGCATATTTTATTCAAAAATAATATTAGGCGGAAAATAAGCAAAATTTTATCCTTATATTTTAATTAAATAAAATAAAAAATAAAAAAACAATAAAAACAAAAATATTTCTCTCCATCACCACCGCCTGTTCATCTCCCCTTCATCAATATTCAATACCACACCTCTTCTGAAACCCTCCACAACTTCCCTAACCCAAATAAAAATCAATCCCTACCCAGCTTCCTTCGTCGATACTACCACCACCATTTTGAAACCTTTCATTATTGCTTCTCCCTCTCTCAAAAACACCGCCATCGAGCCAACTATGTCGCTGAGTCTTCCCTCCGATTTTACAGAACTGAAGCCGACGACCCTAGTGGCGGTGCCGACAATAGAGAAGGAGCCTCCGCCTGGCGCTCGATTCTCTTCCAATGTCTTCTGGAGCGATTCTCTTCCGATTCTCCGTTGATGTCAGTTCTGGGTCACAGTCGGTTCAGGGTCTCGCTGCCGTCGAGTTCGCCATCTCCGTCGTTGGTGAGAACGAAAGGGACGGAGAAGTGAGCACCGCCATTGCTTCTCGGCGACACCCGAACTGTTGTCGGTGTTGTCGAGGTCATTATCAGCCCATGGCGCCAGCGGTGGGAGCGATCAACAAAGAAGGAAGCCGACGTTTCTCGATTCTTTCTTTTTCAGGGAAATCGATTTGGAGATTTAGGGATTTCTGGGTTTTGGGGTAAATATGAGGAAGATGTGGCAGGAGAAGGTTGGGGTGAAGTGGAGATGGTTTTGCACCTGGGTTGGACCTTAAATTCACAAAATCGCAATAGAAAGGAGGAAGAAGAAAGGTGGGGTGGAGTGGAAGAATGGACGAAGGTGACGGTGAGGGGAAGTGGGGCAGTTTTTGGATTTTTTTCTGTATAAATGATATTTGTTAATAATTATTTTTAAATAAAATCTGACGTGTCATGTATACGTGGCAAGTGTTGGTGAGTTGTCAATGATGTGTCAGGTAAGTTGGCAGCCAGATCATCGTTCCGTTAATTTGACTAACGGTATCATTGACGCCGTC